ACCTTACCGTTGAATCAAGGCTACCCCTTAAACGTGGAAACCCACTGTGATTCTATAAAATTCAACGTTAAACCAAACATAGAAGTCTTAAGCAAAACATACTTTCAAATACCAATAAAATTCAATAAAATAACCTTGCTGTCCTTAAAATTTTAAGGATAAGATCATATACAGCTGAAGTGGCTGCGTCAGTGGGGTTGTTCTGAATTCAATCTCATTATTGCGGCGGCTGTTCCAGTCGAGTCACCCATCTCTGACATGGTTTTCTTGGTTTTGCTGTTCTGTGCCGAGATAATGGCTGGAACGGTAAGAGTTTTATAACATAGTATATTTTTTATTTTTTTACCATACTTGCATATCATCATATTTGATACTTGTATTTGACATAGCTGCATTGGGTAAAATTGAAGAATTTAATTTTGATATATTGTTGGTGTAGAATTTTTTATACTATTAATTGGTTAAGAATAATCGAGTGTGTGACATTTAGGGTTGCTTATTTTTAATGACCGGACACTTATAATTTGATCGACAGTATAAATATGTTTACATGACTGCATGTCAATTAAATCTAATTTAAAAATCAAGTTGAACTTATTTGTTAGTTAGGTTATCTATAACTAGTTCATAGGTCAGTTTTCTAATTGTGTATGCTTGCTTGTCTAGTTATTATTGTGCTTCACAAGAGTAGGATTACTCAAATGTTAATTGTTCTGGTATCTTGTACAGGGGTTTGTAACCACGCATTTCATTTCCATTGCATTAGCCGATGGCTCAAGACCCGTCAAGTTTGCCCTCTAGGTATGTGGACCAATTTCCTTTCACACCTTCTGTTTATGTTTGAATCCAAATTGATTAATCAATGATCCTTACTGGCTTCTTGTTTTGACTGGTGTAGATAACAGTGAGTGGGAGTTTCAGAAATACGGTCACTAACTTTGACGCTGCGAGCTACTGCCATCTTGGACATTTGGACTATATCTTTTGTCTTGGAACATTTGCAGCTCTATTTACTGTCCTTTGTTTGTCTACTTTAGTTTAACAGTATTTTAAGAAAGTCACTCATGAACTGCATTGTAACACCGTTGCACCTCTACTGGGAATGAAACCATACTCTTTCAACTTACACAGATATGGAGATTTGTGTTGACTCATTTGATTCCTTCGTTTGAGAGGAAAATGAGCTGTTTATTATTAAAATATGTACATTGATTATATGTATAAAAAACTATAAAGGTCGAATTTTTAGCTGTTGGTTCTTCTTAAGTAACCATTATAATCTCTTGTTTAGTCCTGCAAGGGTAATCACCTAATTTAGATGACCTAAACTCACTACCTGGCAAATTATTTATGGGGGAATATTACTCCTATTGCATTGCAAATATTCATGACTAGGAATTAAGAATAATTCTTATGATAAGTTGTCAGGGTGTAGAGATATCATTATTCCCCAAGGAATTTGGATAATTCTAATGATATTTTCTCTAGTAATATTATTCTAAGGATGATTATTACTGGGAGTGGTGAGTAATTAAAAAATATTGAAATTTACAATAAAGTATATACATCAACTTTTGCCATTATGTTCAATTAAGAATCATATTTTTATTCAAATTATTGAAATTTAAAACAACAAAGCTTATAACACTAACTTCTGCCATTTTGTTCAATTTAAGAACCATATTTTTATATTTGTCAACAAAAAAAACCATATTTTTGTTCAAATGATTTATTTTAAGAACTCTCTTATATTTTTTTAGGTCTTCTTTTACCTCTATCTTTTTTTAATAACTCATAGTTTTTTAGGTTTTCCTTTACTTCTATTTGTTTGACTATTTTTTATTTGATCTATTCTCCTTTTCTATTTGATCTATTCTCCTTATATAATCTAAGGTTAAATATATTTTTGGTTCTTATAAATATCTCAAAATTCCTTTAATCTTTATTAAAAAAATAATATATTTTAGTCTCTACAAAATTTTTATTCATGTAGTTTTAATCTCTGCTATTTTTTAAAATTTTGAAAACTATTTAATTACACTTAAACTTTTAAATTCTTGAATAATTTTTTTCATATGCGTTTATAATACTATAAAATGTTTCTTTACCAAATTTTAGAAATTTTCAAAATGAGATGAATTAAATATGAAATTTTAAATTTCAAAATATATTGATAAAAGTAATGAAAATTCCGATTTAGAAATTAAATTTTGAGTTTTTTTTTTCAAAGAATTTTTTATAACGTTCTAAATATATATGTAAAATAATTATTTAAAAATACACATCAATTTAACAACATAAACTAAAACTATGTATATAATAATTTCGTAAGAACTAAAATATATTTCATTTTTTATAGGGATCAAAAACAAAATTTGATTAATTTATAAGAAACAAAAACATATTTAACCTTATAATATATAAATTTTCTCGTTACATATCCAAACCACTATCAAAGTCTATTTTAACCAATTTTTTTTATTGTTGGTTTTATCCTAACAGTTGCTTTATTCCCGTAGATTATCAATGTAATATTTTCATTTCTACTACATTTATTTTATTTTTATATTGATTTTTAATCGTTTAACATTCTCATACAACATCGTAGATTTTATCATATTGATAAGTTTTTTTTTTTTAAATTTAAACAATATCTTTGTCTCACGTAAACTTCTGAAGTCCTTTATTTCAATCATCTAATTTAAATTCGATAGCTTATATCTCATCTTCTATTTCTCTATTATTTTGTCTTATAAACTATATATTTAAAGTGCATGATCTCCAACTTTAATTATAAATACTTCTCCTTTTTTTTAACTAATAATAAAATATTTTAAAATAATGTAGTAGAAAAGTTATCTTCTGTTTCTATTGAAATGTCTTTAATTATCATGATGATTATGAGAATGTAAGATTCTCACTTTTAAATAAAAATAACTTAAAGAATGAGAATAAAATTTTCAAGAAAATGAAAATAAAATTTAAATAACTATATATATATATATATATATATATATATATATATATATATATATATATATATATATATATATATATATATATATATATATATATATATATATATATATATATATATATATATATATATATATATATATATATATATATATATATATATATATATATATATATATATATATATATATATATATATATATATATATATATATATATATATATATATATATATATATATATACAAAAATGCAAGTATTATTAATCAAACCCTTTTTTATTTAAAACTATATCAGAGAATAAGATGCTTATTCTCAAAAAATGATTCTATTTGAAAATGATTCTTAAAAATAGAATTTTTAGAACTGAAGTAAATATTTCAATTTGGAGGTTCAATTCAGCCATATCATTCTATTGGTCGGTGAATTTAATATATAAACTTTTACATCAAACGTTGTACAAAATTAGATCCGTTTTTATCTCAATTATTAATTCTTATGTGATTATTTTTCGCATTTCATATTAGATCATTTAATGACGATTCAAACTATTTTTGTTTTTTTTATATATGTGACTCTGAACTATATTTAGATTTGCAAATTTGACATTTTTTTATTGACTGATTTAAAAATTAGAGTGTTAACTTTATAAATACGTTTATTTTCCTAAAAATCATCTACCACTATATCAAAAATCTTTTTACGATGATCATCTTCATCTACCACTATTTATTGTTCCTCTATAGATTAAAACCATACCATAATAATCAATACAAACTCTATAAAAAAAGATAACATCCTATAAACATAACTCACCAAATAAATCTATGATTGTGAATCTAACCTATAAAATTTACACCATCATGATTCCAAGTTAGGTCTAAATTTTGACCTCACTAGACATTGGCATAATTTTTTCTCATGATGAGGCCTATTTTTGTTCAAGTAGTCCAATTATTTATACTTTGTTCCTCACTCATTAAATGCATTTGGTTGAAAGGTATGTTTTAGTACATAAAATAGTATCAAATTCCCATAGGAAATCTCTTCACAAGCACAAAGGTCAACCCTATTCTCTCTTTATATACTAATTTTTCCCCTTGCACGTTCTATACTTGACTTGTCTCATTTTAAGCCTAGTTTTTGTGTTGTAGGATTGCAACAACATGAGTTAATTTAAAGGGCCTAATTTAAATTCCTCATTATACATTTATGGCCCACTCCAAGATTCTATAATACGGGTCCCCTTTTGCTCCATGTTTTACTCAATAATTAGTATATGGACCCATAATTGATATGCCCTATATTTCTCATCACAAATTTTAAATGCTATTTATGAGATAGATAGATAAATATGAATGAATATTTATCTTCTTGAAATAGAAGAATTAACTTATAAAAAATATTAACAAAAGATTGATACGTTGCATTAGTAAGAAAATAAAAGGTTTAATTGCCGTTTTTATTCTCTTATTTTATTTTAAATTTTAAAATTTTTATTTTCTTTATTTTTTTATTGAAAATTAAAAAAAATTACACTCACATTCCTTGAAATCTATTTAAATAGCACTAACACCCTCTCTAATTTTAAAATATACACTAATTTTTTCTAAAATCTATTAAAATATAATCAACGCCTCTTCTAATTTTTAGTGACAACAAAAATTTATTAATATAAATGATAATTTTATTAATTTTTCATTTGTGTCTATTTTTGTTTAAATTGAAATTTGTTTATCTTTTAAAAAATAAAAATAATCTTGAAAAATGATCATGACTCAAGGATCCTCTAAATTGAAAAATACATTAATTAAATTTCAATAAAGATGACTCATTTAACAAATAAATAAATATGTACATACATTATCCCACGATACACGATAAATAATTGCAGTATCTTTTATTAATGTCATGATTATAATTTTTGGGTTTATAAATTCTCCCAACCTCTGACAAAACATTCCTATTATTCTTCTCCTCTTCTTATGCTATAAAAACAATAAAGCATTCTCTGAAAATTCTTCAATGGAAAAAACAGGCACTGGCAATGGAAACACAAATTACCAAGCTGAGGAAAGTGGCTGGACTTCATATTTTGAAGATTTCTCTAAACACATTGAACCAAGTTATTGTTCTTCAAGTTTAGGTGGTTCCTCTTTGGTCTCAGATGCTGCTTCTTGTGCTGCATGGAAATTCTCACATAAAAATCATGTTACAAACTCACCAAACCTCTCTAAGAAACTTTCTATGAAGAAAACAAGAACCAAACATATTTCACATGATGATTCTTTAGAGGACACCGCTAGCTCCCCGGTCAATAGTCCAAGGGTACGTAAATATCTATTTCTTCTGAGACAGTTATTTTTTAAATTTATTTAATAATTAATGTATTTGGATTACAGTTATCAGATACAATTTTTTTCTTAACAATACTCGTTATTGACAGGTAACTGGAATGAATTCGAGAGAAATGATGTCAAGGAAGATTGAAGATCAATTTGATGTCTCTAGGGTAATCAACTATGGTTCATATAATTAATGTTTTTTTTTTCTTTATAAGAAATAATTTTGGTTTTTGATCTTAACTAAATACTATTGTTTATGATGATGATTTTGTAGGGTAAGGGATTTAAATCAGAGCGTTATCCAAAGGTGGAAACAAATGATTGTGACATAAATTTCAATGGGAAAAATGTTGATTGTACTGGTTTGGAGAAAAAGGGACTATGTTTGGTTCCTATGTCCATGTTGGTTAATTATTATGGATGAATTATTAATTCTGTCTAGAATTTAATTTCTACTTGGAGGTCATTGTACTTGCTGATCTCGATTGTTAGATCAAAATTAAACGGTTCAGATTACAAAATTTCTATGATCTGATAAAGACTGAACAGTTGAAATTTCGAGTTTTCATTTTATTGAAGTCGTTGCGAAAGATATATGACCTCTATCTAATGTCTTAATTAGATTTCTCCATTGAAGTGAATTTGGGTTCATAGCTTAAGTACTCATGTTAAATTTGTATATATACATAGCATGGTACTGGAATAATTGAACAATATCTATCATTCTTCACATGCTCATAATTGAACAATGTTAGGAAAAAATGTGGTTGGCATTACTATAAACTTGAAATTAATAAACTAAATGCTGGTCACAACAAAAATAAAGGAAAACAGTGAGGAAGAGAACCAGTTCAGTTTTTATTCTGTTTTTGGTAATGGGGAGAAAAAGTTTATATGGTATTGAAGAGATGTGAAACTAGGTAGATTCATACCTTTTTTTAATCAAAAGGCCAAGGGACAAAATATATATAGAAAGGTGGAAGGAACATAAGAAAAAGGAAGATGGGACCAAAATCAAAATTTTTTTAGTGTCTAAATTTAAAATAAGTTTTGTCTTACTTGTTGTTCAAGTAATCTATCTTAATGGTATCATGTACATACTTCAACCAAAAGAAATTTTCTAAGATTTAGATTTATACTAGCAAGTTTGTTCGCACAAGCATTTCTTTGTGTGTGTAGGCGTATTGGTGTGCGTGTGTGTAACTCATCAATTTTATTAAATTATTTTATTTTGTTTATTTGTATATTATTTGTAATTTTTAATACTTTATTTAATTGTTGGATAACATTAATTGAATTAATAGGAGTGTTAGGAGTGTGTGTCTTTGAGATGGGAGCATAGAAAGAGAATAGAGGTAGTTGGAATTGAACTAGAATTATTTTAATAATATAATAGTAATAATTTATTTGAATTAAAATGAGAAAATAGAGAAATTATGTCGTAAGAGAAAAAATTAGGTTAATATAAGTTTAGAGAGTTTTAATTCTGATCGGTACGTAGAAATTTTAGAAAAGAGAAAAAGAGAGCAGAGGCAAAGGAAGGCAAGAGGGAAGCTAAAAAATGAAGAGATAATACATTAAAACCAATTCAGATTCAGATTTCTTGCTAGGAATTAAGGTAAGGGGGAACTACTTCTCTAATAGGTATATGCACGAGGGGTAGAATAAGTTGCCCTTAACCTCTAATAGATTTTGTCTAATTATGTATGTTTGTTGTGTTTTTATGTGAGTTTGGAAATTGATGATCAAATGATGTTGTAATCTGTTTATACGATGAAATTTGTATGAATTATTAGGTGAATGATGTGTGCTTTTCTATGTTGAGATACCCTCCATTGTTAAGTTTTGAAGGTTATAGGAACCTTGTAAAACCATGAATAAAGAGTTAACATGTTAAATTAATATAATAATATGATGTGGATACTTACTTATATGATATTCGTGTATTGGTTTGAGTCGATTTTGAGTGTCTGGAATGAAAATTTAGAGTTCTGAATTGAACTTTGTGTAGAAAACAAAAATCTGGCTTCTGCAGGTCGATGGCAGGCGCCATCGTCATGACGACTAGGTCGCCATGGCATTTGAGGTGCTGACGGGCGTCATGCCTGTGACAGGTAAACTATCATGAAGCTCAGGCTCAGTTTGTATGGCCGGTCACATAAGTGACATTTTGATTTTTTTGATCGATGACGGGTGTCATCATTATGACGGGTAACCCGTCATGCACCCAAGATGAGCGTAATGAGATATGGTGCATGGAATTGAATTCTGATCCCAGTTTTTATTGTTGTGTGATGATTCGAGGTGTTGTTGGATACTGTTGGGTGTAACACCCCAATTCTATCCGAAAATTATTATAAAGACAGAGTTATAAAATTCCGACAACCGAATCAGGATGCTACAATTTCAACTTAAAACAACGACATTCATTACAGATACATAACACATTAAACTTGGATGAACCAACAACTTTCATAACCACACAGCGAAGTCATAATATCCAACTTAAAAGGCCATAACATCTTTCTCCAACTGAAAACAACTTCAAATAATAAATATTTAACGAACAACAACTTAAAGTTCAATTAACTGAAATAATAATAACAATGAAAGAACAAGCGTTCATCACCCCGAGTGTTACGTATCAGAGCAATGACACCGACTCGAGCTACTGAAGGTACACCACTTTCACTCTGAATTACCTGCACGTTACCAACATTGAGGTAACATTCAAACAGAAGGGGTAAGACATTAAACTATATAATCGGATGTATGATAAACATTATATTAGAATCAACTCATGCAAAATCATCGCTTCACAACTCATAAACAACAGTAGTCACAACCAAATATAACGATTAATTCATCAACACAACAACTCAAATATGCAACGTGAATGCGACTCGTTACGATGCAAATGCATGTGGTACCAATAGAGAAAAACTTCCAACTTAATAATCTACCAATAAATAGAGGCATCAACAAGGCCTAAGCCTTCAACTTTATATTTGCCAATCCATGCCAACTTAATGAGCATCATCTCCAACATGATATACTATGTATGTGACAACATGATTAAATGAAACCACAACAACCATATATAACAATATTGGCATAAGCCTACATCTCAATAATTGCCAATAAATAGAGGCAACACCATAAAATTTATCACCTGCAACTTCAACAATTTAATAACAACAACACAACAATTTACACTGCCAACACTGTTATTAACACGGTCCTACTAAAATACTTCTACTAAATTATTCTACTGATAAGCCTTAATAATAGTTTTCGGCTAAATTAATGAAGCTATTATTTTTCCGCTACTTAAATTATCTCTACTGCTACTATATTTTGGTTACTATTGTCTCTGTTATTTGCTACTAGCTCTGTAACTAAAACCATACCAGTTACTAATTCTGTAACTTATTAATCTTACCTGCTAAGCATCTACTACTATTACTTTCATGATTTACTGCTCCATAATTTATCATTATGCTCTATGATATTATTAATTTATGCTAACGTTTACTAACTCAGTTACATCCATTTTCGTAACTAAATATTAAAGTAACAGACACATAGGCAGACATAGGAAATAGACAAAAAAAAGTAGCAGACACACGATGTGCCCCTCGACACACAGGTTGTGCCACTCTCCACTTACCTCTCTTTCACCTAGTGCCGATCGACACTCTTTTCTTGCGCTCGACACACTCTCCTTATGCCTCTGTGCCGTTCGATACACACGTTGTTCCCCTCGGCACAACAGGTTCTCCAACCCCATATTTCAGTCGGGTACTGATACGAATACAGAATTATCCAAATTTTTCCTCCGATTACAGGTCTCATACCAAAACAATATATATTTGCAGCAACATCAATTTTCACCAAAACAACAACTTTACAGAGACGACAATTTTTCACAATTAACCATATATATTAATCATATAACCTCCATTAATCATATTTATCAAAGTTATTACACAACTTTACAGAAAAACTCCCACATAATATTAATCATATACCCAACTATAGAGTCAGAACCCCACCCTTACCTTGAATCGAAGGTCGCTCTACAACTTTTATGATCAAACCTAGCTTGCCTCTTTTCCTTGTTCCTCTTCTCTGTAACTTCTCACGCACAACACTTTCTCTACTCTTTCTCTTAACCCTTTTTAATTAATCTAATTTCTATTATTTAACTAAACTCAATAATATTATTATTTCTATTGGGTCTAATAGTCACACCCCCTTAATACTATGTCTATCACCAAAACAAGCCCAACAACTAATATTATTAATATTCTACAATTATAATATTATTACTAATATTATTAATCAACTAATTTAACCGACTAACTTATGTCAATAAATCACAATCTAACACAACATGTCAACGATTTCAACAAATAATTTGCAATTAATTGAAAATACTTAATTAATTAATTAATTAATTAATTAAATAAATAAACGGACGTTACATTGGATGCCTATGGTTGATTGTTAGTATTATCCAATTAATTGTAACATGATTTAAATGATGAATTATGTTAAGTGGTGTAAATGATGAGTGTTATGGTGTTATTTATTGTGGTGATATTTTTGTTGATTATGCGTGCTTGAATAATGTTGGAAGTGGTAGAGCGGAAAGCAACAAAAGTTTTAGAAATATTTATCCGGGAATTTATCGTATCCATAGATATTGGTTATTAAATTTCCGTTCGACAAATCTCTCGTTAATGATTTTGGGGATAAATGGGTTTGTAAAGAAAATGTTATCAATAGAAAATAAATGTAAACAAAAGTAAAAACTAAGGAAGAACTTATCAAGTTTGCATATAATCTACTCATCAGAGACTTAAACCTATCGACCAATTACATTCAACCTAATAATATTCATCAATGTCACTACATATAACTCACAACCTAAGTCATTTCTAACCCAAATTGAGACACCGACTGTATCACCAATGAAATGATCTCTCTACCTCCTCAATAACATAGAAGACAACTATGTAATCACACCGACAATCTCTCAGTACAACCTAACCACACAGAAGCATTAAGCTCTGATACCCAAGTAGATATCAGTTCTAAATCTATCTCTAGAGTTTCAGAAACTAACAGATAATCATCCTAGATAAGAATCTAAGCAGTATACGTCTATAACAACTCAAATCCCTAGCACAGAGAAAAAATCTAAGATAATAATCGACAAAGATTTGTAAAGCAAGTTTAATATAACACCATGAGCGACAAATATACATAAGTTCAGAGTAAATATATGTACAAACTCAACACATAAAGAATACACAAAGAGGAAGATAAATGAACCACAAATCTTCCGGTTTGTCAGCGCCGATTGATGAGAAATCTACCCCGGATCATCCGTATGCAAGCTTCAATGTTGTTTTCTAA